AACTTAATTTGTGAAAATATTTTTGAAGTATATTATAAATTAGGCGAATTCAAAAGTATTGTTGTTTTAAAAGTTTTACAATTCTTTGTAACAAACTTCTGTAGCAAGCAAATAAATTTCAGCCTCCTGTCATTATTAATTTTCTTTACAGACGCACCTTATCCATTAATATTTTATAATTTCATTTATTGTATTTTCGTGATCAATATTTTATTTAATACAATAGGTATAATAATTAATAAATTATTAACTTTACACAAATTACTAAAATAGCTATCTAAAATAATAAACCATGAAGAATATCAAGTATAAACGATCTGTGATAAATATACTTGCATGTCTGATCCCATACGTTCAACAATAAAAAAAAAATATTTTCAAAAACTCATTCTAGTTCATTTTAATTATTTTGTATTCAAAATATTTTAAAACAAAACGAAAATAATTACGGAAAAATGTAAAATTCGTGATAAAAAACCAAATCCTGAAATGAAGCGTCCAATTGCTTTTATTTTTGATTACTATATAAAACAGACCTATATTTCTCATTATTCCGTTTATAATCGAGCAAACAACAGTCAATTATAAAAAAAAAAAAAATAGAAAAAAATATTATATTCTGTGTGCAATTTTTTCCAGTTAAAATCATCACAAACGGCATGTTTTCTGGTATGAAGTAAAATTTTAATAGAATGCAAATTATGGTAAAGTAAAACTCGCAAATATAATACCAAGTCTCGCAATTAGGGCGATATTATGAATGTATGTATAGTGTAGAGCTAGTTAAAAAGTATAGGTGCAGCCTTAAAAGTTCCATCCATGTATATATAATCAGCTTTTTGTAGATAATCCACGTTTCCTTTCATGCTAAAAATCTGAATTATTTGCTTTATATTTTCAGAATCGAAAAGTAAAATTTGTTTTAAAATAATCAGGTAGATACAACTCTTCTTAACTTTTCGGGTGTGTGGGTTCCAGTTTTTCTTTCACTCTTTCCCTGCGTATTGTTTGGTTTAAATCATTTACTTTACTTAGTTTAGCTACTGTTACTGTGTCCACTTAACTTGATAGTGCTGACACTAGTTAGCGTGGAGTATTTATTGTTGTCCAAGCATTGTCCTTCAGTTTATTCTTAAAACGTATCACATCTACGTCTACTGCATCCACGGGGTGGTTATAAGAAGTCTCTTTGCAAACATGACCATGGCTTGTAGTTGCTCGCAATTTACATTTCTTAGACAAAAAGGACTCGCACTTCCAATATATTTTTTCAAAAATAACTTTTTTTCCATTTTCACTTAAAAGAAATTCTAGAGGCATATTTATAAATTAGTGATGAAAACAAGACAAGAAATTGAACTTCTTGTCTTGATATCAAGAGTCTTTTTATTTTTTTCAAGACTAGAAATAGCGTTATCTTGTCTTGCAAACTTCTTGACAATCAATTTTTTGTCTTGATATCAAGACTCTTGATACTTCTTGATTATTGATTCTCGTGAGGCGTTACACACGTCATTCTATCCAAAACTTTATTTCGTAAATTAAATAGTGCATAGGTCACATCTTAGGGTCACATACCTAGAGAAATATACCGCTAAAGAACGACTGCGCATCTGATCTGAGTGTCTACTGAAACGAGATAGAATATTCCGCCATTTTGCCAGCTAATTGTCAGATTTAAGTGTCAACTTTCGATGTCAATAATGCCGATGCTATTTTAGAGTTTTGCATTGTTTTCGTTTATGTTCGTGAATTATACGAGCTTTCGAATTTTGTTCAGTCGTTTAGTCTCAACGTACCATCCCAATTTTCACACAGAGACACCTTTACGGGGAAATTATAATTTGTTCTTCGATTCTGCATTGACGAACCCCCTGGGTTCTGAGCAGTCATTATCTTACATTTTTTTCGAACGATTTAATCAATTTATCTGATTTTTAAAGTATTAGAAATATGTAATTATGCAAATTCACAAAATGATGTTAATAGTTGATGCATAAACAATTTTTTTTAATAATTAGGCATTCCAAACTGAATGACTACCAGTGGGTTTTGACAGGTTATGATGTGGCAAAGTTATGGCAACTCTGTAGGACTGGTGATTTGACAAGGTGAGTGAAATAGGTAGTTACATAGATTGATCATCCCTATTTTTTAAAATAAACATAAGCTTATGCCTTGAAGTAAAAATATAAGCAATTATTATTTTTTAAATATCTAAAGTCTGAAAATTGGTTTTAAAACACATTTTTGCTAAACTGATTCAAATTAATAAATATTTGCCAGGCAATATGGCTGCTCGCAAACGACCAGCTTTGAGCAATGTATATAACATATATGTATCATTGACCCTGTTAATGACAACATGAAAACAGGGTTGCCATATCTAAACTGTCAGTACCCACTGGTAGCCATTTGGACAGGTCGTTGGAATGCCTAATTACAAAATGCCTAGTAACAAAGGAGCTTGATGCAAGCAATTTGTTTAACAAAAACGCATAATGATGGTTGCATACTGTCTGGCTTTCACATTACCATGCATTGTTGGTTGCATATATGTTTTGACAGATTAAACACAATAAAATATTAGTATATAGCAGGTAATGGGGTCTATTCTGTAACAATTCCTTTATATTTAACGGCCTTTAAAAATATTGGCGGCCTTTAAAATATTTTCGTATTCGTTAATTTACTTCTGTCATTACTTAAACAGATTTTTTTAAGATAATTCTTTAATGTATTTTAAAGATCCGTTTAAATAATGATAGAAGTAAAGAAGAAAATATTTTTAAAGGCCGTTAAATATAAAGGAATTGTTACAGAATAGACCCCAATGTACGTCGGAATCGAACCATAACAGCCTCAGCTGTCCGAACTCATTTTAGAAGAACGTATGGTCGATTCGTTTCCAGTACCATAATACGGCGAAGACTTTATGCAGCCAATTTGCGATCTGGGAGGCCATCAAAAGTACCCATGTTACTTCTCTTGGGGCAGCATAATGCATGATCGTCATAAACAGTTTATTCCCATACCAGACTCTATGACAGGGGATAGAGATGTTCGAAACATTATTGAACCTATTACTTATCCTCTCCGAAATAAAATTGAAGCCAAGTTGGTAATATGGGATGTATGTATGTCTAATATTAGCAGTGCCTTACCATGAGGTTTTCTTGGTGGGAAATGGATTTTTAACCAATGCGTAAATATATCACCATTGACATAAGCTAATTTTTCAAACATTTTAACTTGTGAACCTGGTGGCATGCCATCAAGCTAATCTTCTTTTCTATTTTTCCCCCTTAAAATGCAGTAAGGAGGTAGAAAGCTTTTCTTGGCATTACAGCATGCTATGATGCTTAGTCTCTTCTTTTTCATTACGACTGAACTTGGAACACTTTTAAAGCCTTTTTCGGTTAAAACTTTTCCAGCTCTAGTGTTTAGCTGTAAACCTGTTTCGTCCGTATTAAATATATGCCTAGATTTGTCAAAAAGGTTGTGTTCAGTCAAAACCTTCTCAAGGTCTGCGAAATGGGTTACAACGATTTCTCTAGACATTTCAACTGATCGTTCTATCGAAGTGTTCTCAGCTTTCCTGATAGAAATATTAGGCATTCGGCCCACAAATAACTCCAGTCATTTCTTGCCAGCTTTACCTGCAAATCGATAACCGAGTATTAGGGGCAACAATATTTTAAAATTGTTCAATATTACCATCTTTTTCGTTAGATCTATTTGGTATCTCCATTCGTTTAGCTAAATTATATGCTTTAATTCTCACCTCAGTTCTTGTTGGTGCAAAGTACGATTTTTTGGAGTTTCTTATTATGGCTCACTAGCTTTTGCTCTGTATTTGATCCCAGTAAGGCCTTAGGTCCCAGTCATTGACTTTTTTTAAGTTAATTTGATTTTAATCGCCGCTTGTATGTAGTTTTGGGTATTCCAAATGCTCTGGCAGCTTCGTTAACACCCATTTGGCCTTCTCTAACTGCCTTAGCGGAATCATTTAATTCTTGAGAGGTTCAAGAACCTCTTTCAGGCACATGCTTTTTACATATGTACTTATTGGGTATGGTACTAAAACCCAAATATATCGGTCCAACTCCCCTCGCCCTGATCGGTCCATCTATCCTCAACTGGGAGGATAGATGGACCACTCTATAACTACGAAACAAATAAAGCAGGCGTTCTTATTCATGTATATGTGAGTCAATCATATGCATATTTATATTTACCACTCTTAGCAACAAAAAACAGTTTAGACTTTCCTAGATGTGACAAAATTCACAATATAATAATTTTCACCAAGCTAAAATTTGCTTACGTTTAAAATCTCTCACATAAATACGTAAACACGAGTACTTGTTACTGTCTCAAGGTGAACTTATATGAAAAGGCATCACTTGCACCGGATGAGCGTAGCTGTGTTGCCGCACCGTGCAAAATATTTCCGGTGGTTTGTCTATCTTCCTGGTTTATCTCTCCTTCCTTTACCCTAAAAAGATTATTAGTACCTAAAAAATCTTTTTTAACTTATCGAGAAAAAAATTCAACAATCTTATTGATCTTTAAAAGTTTATATTATAGACGATTTAACAACTCTAAACCCTTCGCTCGTATATTTTATTTCCATTTTTAAAATTAGTTTTATGAATAAGAATTTAAAATTGGGGTAGCCCTGTGTGGAAAAAGAAACAAAAAGGTCCTTTTTATCTTACAGAGATTTGTATTTAAACGGCAAATGGTTTTGAATTACGATTATTTCATCATCAGTCACACCTAGTGGGTAAGATAAAAAAAGGGAATGGAAGAATTTACATTGCTAGGAAGAAAAAAAAGATGGAATAATAATTATTACTATTTTTTAAGTATAAGATAATTGTTATTACTTTCATATTATTTGAACCCACATTTTTGTTATGAGCTCGACACAAATGTTTAATACACTTTATATGTACTTTTACATCTATTAAACATTATATTTTTCTTTGTTTCAGATTGTATCTTCAACTTGACGTCATTCCCATAAAAAATGGGAAGCGAAGAGTCTTCTAACTGTTCGGAAGAACCTTACGGGAACTTCAGCACAATCTTTGGCTCCACCGACGTTCCAGAATGGGAAGCCATCCTAACTATAATCATATTGTCACTGTTCATACTGCTTACGATAATCGGCAATATCCTAGTAATACTTAGTGTTTTCACATATAAACCGTTAAGGATAGTTCAGAATTTTTTTATAATTTCATTAGCCGTCGCTGATCTCACCGTAGCTATATTAGTCCTTCCTTTCAATGTGGCCTACGCCGTATCGGGAAGATGGATTTTTGGTAAGTTAGAACTTGGCTTTACTTTATAATTTAAATTTAATTATTATGTAATTGTTTTCTTAAAATGTCTCACGTAATAAACTTTGGGTGACATAATTCTTAGTCAAAATGTATTTTGGTTAAGAAATCACTAGTAATTAAAAAAAAAGAAAAAGAAAAAGGTGTCAGTGATAAACAACATTGATGCAAGTTGTTCAGACCTTTTAAAAAACCTTTGAATAAATACGAAAAACATATTAAAATAAATATTATTGAGCCCGTTGGACTGAAAAATATGTAGCTAAACATAATTTTCAATAATGAGGCTTTTTGACAGTGGAATATTTAAATATTTTAAATGAACATTGTTATGACTCAACTATTAATGAAGCCACTACGGTCCAGGGTAACACCAAATCTTGTTTAGATCACATATTTATCAAATCCAAATATAATAACATAAAAGATAATATAATTCCACTAATACTTAAAACAAACGTTACAGACCACTACTCCACTATTTTGCAGGTCATATTAGGGAATGATAAAAAAGTAAACAATAGAAAAAATAACAAATATATTAAATTTATTAATCCAAATAAAATCAACAATATTTTTCGAGTTATTTCATGGTCCCCTGTATATGCATTAGAAAATCCAGACATTGCAGCAAACACATTTGTTAACATTATTCAAAATGGTCTTGTAAAATGCACAGAGAACCGTAAATTAATAAGAAAACGAGATAAAATTGCACCCTGGATGACAAATGGACTGCTCACTTCAATTAATAAAAAAAATAAAATGTTTCTGAATATTCAAAAATATCCCAACAATTTTGAATTAAAAAGAAATTATAATAATTATAGAAATAAAATAAACAATCTAAATACAAAAACAAAATTTAATTATGTATTATAAACAAAAAATTGAAAGTGATAAAAACAATTTTAAAAAGTTGTGGGACGTGGTACAGGATATAAGTAAAACAAACAAACAACCGAAAGAAATTGTCAAAATAAAAAACAGTATTGGGGAATTATTAACAAATAAACAAGAAATAGCAAATGAATTTAATAAAGTTTTTGTTGACATGGGACAGAATCTTGAGAAAAATATAAAAGTGGATCCAACATATAATTACCAAAGAAAATCCGTCCAAAACTCATTTGTTTTGAGCTCTGTTGATAGAACAGAAATTCTTAATGTTATTGGCGAATTAAAAAACAAAAAGGCTGTTGGTGATGATAATATAAAAGCTGAAACTATAAAAGCAATCTCATATTACATAATAGAACCACTATGTTTCTTGATAAACAAATGTATTGACCAAGCAATTTATCCATCAATCTTTAAAAGTTCAATAATTATACCAATTCATAAAAAAAGCGATGTTACAGAAATTTCTAATTATCGACCTATAAGTCTAGTAACACATTTCTCAAAAATCTTCGAAAAAATATTAAAAAATCGTCTTCAATCTTATTGCAAAAAGTATAAAATAATTTCAGACTGTCAATATGGATTCCGGGGAAAAAAAGTACCGAGGATGCCATCTTAAAACTTACAACAAAAATCACAGAATCCCTAAATGAGAGTAAACCATGCCTAAGTATATTTATTGACTTATCAAAAGCGTTCGATACGGTCAGTCACCGCCTACTTTTACAGTCACTGGAAGATATCGGAATACGGGGAAAATGCAACAAACTCTTTGAAAGTTATCTGACTGACAGACTCCAGACTGTGAGAGTGGGTAATGTTTGCAGTGGCGCAGAAACCATAAAGTATGGTGTACCTCAAGGGTCCATCCTTGGTCCTATGCTATTAAATATATATGTTAATGAGTTATTTTCTTTAGAAACATGTAGAACTATAATTGGATTTGCGGATGATACGGCAATTTTTTATAATGCAAATAGCTGGATGGAGGTAAAAGTTAAAGCGGAACAAGACTTTTCAAATATTAAAAGATATCTCGATAGCAAAATATTAACAGTAAACTTTGAAAAAACAAACTACTTGCCATTCAGTTGCAATTCAACCGGCGCTCCACCTTTTAACCAACTAAAAATCAAGGTTAACAAGGAAATCTTTTTCATATCACCAGAATCAAAAATAAAATACTTAGGCGTAATAATAGATCAACATTTAAAATAGAATTTACACATTACATACTTAGTCAATAAACTTAGAAGTATCCTATATAAATTTAGAAAATTAACAAAATTATTACCGCTAAAGTATCTAAAAACACTATACTTTTCATTAGTTGAGAGCCATCTTAGGTATGCCATCGTTATCTGGGGTGCAGCGTTGAATACCCATATACATTCCTTAGAAGTCACTAAGAAACGCTTTTTAAAGCTAATTTACGCTAAAAATGCCAGATATTCCTCCGATGCCTTATATAAAGACACACAGATTCTTGATTTAAGACAACTCTATTTTTTCTGTACCACAACAAAATATCATGTAAACAAACAGTATTCCCATCTTCCAAGCCACGACTATGATACACGTCAGAAACATCATTTTGTGTCCCCACTGATGCTCAAAACAATTACACAAAAGTCATATTTATATTTGGCACCCAAATTTTACAATATGATACCAGAACACATTAAAGACATAAAAAATACAACCCATTTTAAAACAAAATTGAAAGAGTTTATTCTTGAAAATGCTCGAAGCCTGATTCAAAATCACTTCGTAAATTAGGAGTTTGAAATTACCAATTCGTTACTTCTAATAATATAAATAAAATAAAAATAAAAATAATAAAAAAAAAAACTAAATTTAACTATCTTTATAAATAAGTTTATTTTAAATTCGAATGTTCTTTCTGTAATTTTAATTTAGTTTTAGTTATTAGTTAAGTATCTCTTTTTAGTTATTGTTTTATTTCGAAACAAGCGTTCACTCGCTTATCGAGTAATTTATTTATTTATACAATTTTATATATATTTTTTTAAATCTGTGTAGGTATTTAAACCTTTTTTCTTTTTTTTGTTTATAATATTAGTTAAATATGACAAGCTGCGTTTATATCCTACTTATTATTGTATTTTTTTGTATGAATAAATATTATTATTATTATTATTTTAAAGTAAAACATTAAAACAAAGTAAAAAGTTAGTTTTACTAAACTGGTTACATATAGATTGATATTAATTGATATTAATTGATATTAATTGATATTAATTGATATTAATTGATATTAATTGATATTAATTGATATTAATTGATATTAATTGATATTAATTGATATTAATTGATATTAATTGATATTAATTGATATTAATTGATATTAATTGATATTAATTGATATTAATTGATATTAATTGATATTAATTGATATTAATTGATATTAATTGATATTAATTGATATTAATTGATATTAATTGATATTAATTAATATTAATTGATATTAATTGATATTAATTGATATTAATTGATATTAATTGATATTAATTGATATTAATTGATATTAATTGATATTAATTGATATTAATTGATATTAATTGATATTAATTGATATTAATTGATATTAATTGATATTAATTGATATTAATTGATATTAATTGATATTAATTGATATTAATTGATATTAATTGATATTAATTGATATTAATTGATATTAATTGATAATAATTGATATTAATTGATATCAATTGATATTAAATGATATTACATAAATTTTAACAGTAGGTATCAAAATAACTAATTATGGTACTATATAAAATTTTAGATTATAAGAAGCACACTCTCACATTATCATGTACGCATATTTATTTTCGTGTCAGTTTATAACAAGCAATCGGATTTTTGTCGCTAATTTTTTGCAAGGGTTCGCTGCAAGAAAAAGGTTACATTACCCAATATCACGCCAACAAACATTAATTTGTTCGACTGCCAGACAGGGCATGACTTGACAAAATATGTCGCCGTTCTGACAGGCTTCTGGCTTCACTTGCTGTTAAGTAGGAAGTCTTTTTGGCGCTGAGATAATGAAATCAGAATAAGGGTTGCTCAGACGACAGTTTTTCTAACGCAGTTTGCTTTGGGACCCTGTAGTACACCAGAATGCATTTAAGGTAGGCTCAATGGAGTTAAAAAATAGCTCCAGGCGGTCACCGCTAATGAGGTAGACACTAAATTATAATAAAAGAAACTATTTTACCTCACACCTTGTACCTTACGGTACCCTGAAATAAAACGGTTGTGAGTCGGTAATAAAAGAAAAGACACACAAAAATTATTAACAAAATGTATTTACAAAAATAAAAAAAATACCCGTACAACTTGGGATACAGTGTTCGGTAACTCTGGCACCCCAGCATATTAGAAAATAATTTTCCTATCAACTAAATTATTTAAATATAATTGTTAAACAATAAAAACTAAAGAATGTATATAAAATAATAAAAACGGTAATACATTATTCCCTGTATATTAAAAATTAACTTTTTCTCGAGAAATATTTTATTAAACCAAAAGAAATTATTTAAACGATTATTACAGTACTCCCTGTATAATAGAAAACAAATTTGAAAGTATCCAACGGTTTCAAACACAACGGTCGATCTGTAATTTTAAAATCGAAAGTAATAATCAAACAGTAATTACGGTACACCCTGTATAATAAAAAATAAATTTTCTCTGAAGAAAAATTTTAATAAAGCAAAAGAAGTAAATCAAATGAATATTATGGTATTCTCTGTCTAACAGAACATGAGCTTTTAATTATTTAATTGGGAAAAAAAACAATAGAAAAACTCTCTTGAGTGCGTCGTTCAGAAAAACATGACGCCGGATTTGATTCTTTATTGGTTTAACCTCGTAAAATAAAGTTTCTAAATTTCGGACAGCTGGCCACAAATAATTGCTTGACTGGTGTTTGCTAGGAATAGCCTGATCGGGATAAATAGATGAATTGAATTTTGCTTGGACGAATTTTCGTCTTTGAAGTCTATATGTGAGATCATCAGTTAGTTCGATTTTGGGAGATTCGACAAGAT